CCGTTCATGCTCTGTCTCTCTCTGTCCTAAAAATAAATAAACGTTGGAAAAAAAAATTTAAAAAAAAATGGAAAGAAGATGATTTCAAACTCTGCACACGTTCTCCTGCTTTCCTATCATTTCATCGTGATGGATCCTCACTCGCTTGCCTATTTTCTCATAAACCTTCTCTTCTTTCCTTGTCTTCCTTATCACCTGTATCTCCCGAAAATGATCTTTTCTTTTCTCTGAAAAACCACAAGTGGACATGGTCTAAATTTTATGGCGAGCTAGAAGCTGAGCATATTCTAAAACAAAGAACACCAGCAAGGGAGTGGATTTACTAAAATATCTTTAATTTGGCACAAAGAGGAACATAATTCCTCTAGTCAAGCAGGAAAGACTGATGGAGAACCCACCGCGTACAAACAATTGATTCATCTCGACCCAGTAGTGGGTTCTGATGCCCTAGCAGGTGTGGAGGAGGCAGAGGACCAAGTGGAAAATCAGCAGCCTCGAGGCCGTGGAGAGGGTACGTGGGGACAGTGCCAACCCGACCGGGGCCACAGCCGTGCCGTGATCTTATGAGTACACAGAAGACCTTTTAAGGGGAGGCTTTCCTTCAGAGAGTATTGAGTGTGGGTCTGGGCGAGCAAACAAAACCAGGTCATGGGCCCTTGGATTCATCCCTGGAGACTCACCCGAGCCTCTGTGTGTGTTCACTGAGAAGGATTTACTCCTAACTGCCTTCTGAGGAATTGTCTGGTTCCTATTGTGCAGTGTTGTAAGTCTGAGGAGGAGGTCTGTCAAAACACGTCCCTCATTTTTTAACCAATCTCATGTAGAAATTTTAGGGAGAAGAAAAGGCAAGAGACATTTCCACTGGTACATAATCCTGTAACAGTGACTCAGATTGCCAAAGAGACACCTGCATGTGTCATTTAGACACAACTGAGTTAATCAGAAGGTCTCTTTGACATTAAGAAACCTCAGGAAAGCACTGATGCAGGGACAGGACATCCAAACCCAATGGGCTGGCACGCTGCTGGGGAAGTCTCGGGGGAGGGACAGGTGCACAGAGACGGGGAGGGGTGGGTGCAGGAGGAGGGGACAGGTACACAAGGGGGGGAGGGGCAGGTGCAGTGGGGGGAGGGGCACAAGGGCAGACCTGTTCAAGTCAGGGCCTCCTGCAGAGAAGTACTTCGGTGCAGAAGGGCACTTGTAGGGCGATTCCTGGTGCCACTTAGTGGACACTCCAAGGTGTAGACTAACCCTAACCCTAACCCATTCTGTAAACAAAGGTAGCGTGTGCACAAAACGGGAATGACACGCTTCTTATGCAAACGGTTCACCGGCCAGAAGTTCACATCCAGTGCCATAGCAAGGTGGGGGAAGCCAAGTGTTTGGTATTGGGGGATAAAGCAAAGACATTCTTAGCCCCGCCCTACCATTGTCTGAGAGGAACCTGAACTTCAGAGTTCAGTGAACCCAAAACGTTCACACCAGTATTAGCTAGGATGGCTCTTGCCTACCTAGAAATAATGCATAAACATGACAGTCTATATATTCACTAGTATTCCATGAAAATAATCATTATATAGTTTTTATAAATGTTTTATTTATTTTTGAGAGTGAGAAAGAGAGACCACGTGAGCAGGGGAGGGGCAGAGAGAGAGGGAGACAGGATCAGAAGCGGACTTTGTGCATGACACGGAGCCCGATGCGGGGCTTGAACCCACAAACCATGAGATTATGACCTGAGCCACAGTCAGATGCTTGACCAACTGAGCCACCCAGGCGCCCCAATTATTGTAATTTTAAACAATTGTGATAGGATTTCAACACCAATCATATCAAGCTTCTGCGTAACCCCCCTACGAGGATCTGCTGGGAAGGGCAGGCATGGGTTTCAGAAAGTCAAAATAGCAGGGGCTGAATCGCAGTAAATATCGGCTAAGCACACATCTGTCTTCAGCAGCCCCCGGTGTCCTGACACAGAGCGCCTCGTGTGGGCTCACACCTTGTCCTGCAAGGGTGAGGGCTCTGAGTGCTGGGCAGTAGAGATCAGAGTGCAGAAGACACTGCTTACGTCCCGGATGGAGGCTCCCGTCTGAATCCAGATGGTCAGAAGGGGGTGTGTCTGGTGTGCGGAGGTTCAGGGGGAACTTGCCTCGGTCACATAAAAATTAGGTTTACAGATCATACTGTAAATAAAAGAACAGTTTGGGGGCACCTCAGGGGCTCAGTCAGTTGAGCTTCCGACTTCCACTCAGGTCATTATCTCACAGCTCGTGAGTTCGAGCCCCGCGTCGGGCTCTGTGCTGATGGCTCGGAGCCTGGCGCCTGCTTTGGATTCTGTGTCTCCCTCTCTCTCTCTGCCCCTCCCCTGCTTGCGCTCTGTCTTTCTGTCTCTCAAAAATAAATAAGCATTTAAAAAAATTTTTTTAAAAAAGCAACAGCCTGTGTTGACAAGAATCTTCTGCATGTATATTACGTGGGCATGAGTGTGTGTGTGTGTGCACGTGTATCTGGCTGTGTTTTGAGTACGGGCAGTCAGGAAAAGACCACAAAACACACGACTCCCCTCAAAGATTCTCCAGTATAGACGGCTATAGACGGCTCTAAATAAAACCCCAAATCGTAACGTGTACTAAAAGGTTAATACATTTAAAAATGTTCCACAGTAACTCCAAACTAATGATTCTAGACTTCGATACATAGAAAAATATACTAACTCTCATTTTATCTTTCAAACTTGACTTTCCCGGGTAATTTTCACATCCTTCTAGCCCCAGGTGCACATTTCCAAATTATTCTGTTCTTTATGCGTTTGTTTTGGTCAATTCTTATGAGGGAAAATAAGCATTTGTTATGGCCGCATTTTATAGGCTGCCTGTGAATTTCACAGGAAGTTGTGTGTGCGCTTGTTTTAAATCCCACTCGCCAAGCACCCTGAATATTTCCTTTATTGTGAGGTAACACACAGGAAGTGAAATACAGGATGTTTTTGAGGATTTACGGTAACGCTGCAGAAAATAGCTGATGGTGAGCAGTGTGGAACCCTCGGGGTCTCCTCATTTGCCTGACACACTTCGCTGATGCCCATTAACACTTCTCTGTTATTGCCACAGACTCGATTTAATGAGCTTCTCTGAATTTAGAGGTTTGCACCAGAAACAATAGCTTTAAATCTGAGACACCTCGCCCTCTCCACTTTCCGATATTCTGTCCGTCTTCTCTTCAACAAAATTAATTCTCTCTTTACAGTATACTTGAAATGATCTGGGTATTTTCTTTGCCAATTAGAATGGTCGAGAGTTCCCAATCCTGAGACCATATTGCAGAAAACCCGGACGGAGAGTTCACAAATTCAAATTTTGCATGAATGCAGACGATCTCTTTTGTGGTTCTTCCCCTAAAATAAAATCGAGGTGACATCTGGAAGAGTCCTCGTCATCAACAGACTATGTTTCATTATGAATGAGTCCCATTATTTCCAAGAAATAGTTACACATCCAAAACAGTTCTCGCCTATTAAATTGCTTCTTAATTGCACCAAAGTGTTAAAAAGGCAGTAATCTTACAAATTGGCTGGTAACTGGTCAATCTAAATATTAAGTGCACTTACTTTTGCCTCCAAACCTAGAGTTGTATTTAAAACTGTTAAAAACCTTGGATTTCAAAGTGGCCTCACTAGACGTGTAGAAGCATTTTCTGCTCGGCCGGCACGGCCTTTGCAATCAGTGCCGCTGGCACAATGGACCGGTGTCTCCTCGCGAGCAGCTCCGTACTCAAAGTGGGGTGCTCGGCGGTGAGGGGGGCGGCACGAAGGAGAGGCGGCCGTCGGCCCCTCCTCTCTCCTGTCAGTGATGCCCTTGTGTTGTTCTGTCCTTTAGAAAATGAACCCGAAGGAGACCTGGTGAAGTCACCTGGACGGGACATCTGGAGCTCTGACCTTGCGGGGGAGCCGACCGGATCCAAGGAGCGCCCCGGGCGACAGTGCAGGTACCCGCCGCGGCAGCTCTGGGGCAGGTGCGTGAGCGTCCTCCCCGACCGCCGCCCCGAATCACTACTCTTCCCGGCTGGCTGGTGCTTCCTGGCCTCGGGGGGCCGGGGGGGCTGTTAGAAGTCCCGTTGTGCATCACCTCCAAGCAGACCATTCATGCTGAAAAGAGCCGTCTGCAGTTAAATTAGATGATGCATTTGTTGTTCTTGCCACTAAAACTGTATAGGGTGGCACGGGCTGTGCGTCCTTCTGGGTGCTGGGAGGGTCCTGGGGATTGCTAGCGGGGACGAAGTGGGACTGGGACCCTCAAAGGGAAACGCTCCACTTTGAATGTTGCCAGAAATTCCGCAGTCGCTGCAGCACTGGTTTGCAAAGTTCCTCAGTTGCGGTGTGGAGAGCTGGGGGTGGGGGCTGGCCCGCGGGAAGGGGGTGCTGCCTGGGGCAGCAGGTTCTCCTCGGGAATCTCGTGCAAGCCGGGGGCCGGCATGACCGTAACGTGTGCCTGGAGCTGACGTCAAAAGCTCCGGTGTTACCTTCTCAGTACCCACCCTCGCCAGTCCGTGTTGCGCATGTGACTTTGCTGGAGGAGAGTACGAAGCTTCTGGGGGGAAGGTACTCTCTTGGGTTGCTCTATGGGGGAAACTCCGGCCTTTTAAGGTTCATGTGCTGCAGGGATGCGTCCGTGTGCCGCCCAGCGGGAGCTGCCGCCTTCACGGGTCTCGGTTGTTCCGTCTTCTCGGCTGCCCCCTGTTCGCTCTCCCTGAAGAGCCCACCGCACCCACTGGTTGGTTAATCGTCACTTCCCCGGACTTTTAAAAAACCTACTCACACTGAACGTTAAAGTCCTGCTGACTTCAAAGTCAGTTACGGGCTCTGAAGCCTAGGTGTTTCGTATCCATAACCCTGTTTTGTCCAGTCCCGCCGAGTTTTACTCATAAGTTGAAGAATGTTTCATGGAATGTTTTGTGCGGGTCTAATCTTTAAATGCGGATTCGCTGAATTGGCATCTCTGGCTCGGGGTTAAGGGTTCACACTTACGTGACGATCATCAACGCATGTCCTCTACGGCCAACCTCCCCACGAATTTGCGTCCTATAAAGCGTTCCCATACCAACCTCCCCACGAGTTTGCGAAGTGACACAAAAAGGGGCCGGCTGGTTTCCAGAGCGAAGTCCATCTTGACATTCAACGCTCTTGGCTTTGAGTGGGCTTCTCAGTCGAGGAAGGCCGTTGGGCACTGAGAGAGAGGTGCACGCTTTCCAGGTGGGCGGTCGGGCTTATTCAGAGCAGATGGGGAGACTCCGGGGTTCCAGCAGGCCCTGGGGTTGGTGGTCTGGGGGGCAAGGTGAGTGTGGCCGCCGACAGTCCCCAGGGGCCTCCAGGCCAATCGGGTAGAAGTGATAACAGCAGGAGCGCACCCAGCACTCCCGCGATTCACAGCGGAGCGTTTCGCGTACGTAATCTCATTCAGTCTTCTCTAAATGTCAACATCTCCCGCCTGCAGAGCTTTGGCGATAACACGCACGAAGCCGTCGTGAAAGAGTTGTGCACAGCAAAAGTGACGCTCGCATTACCCTCTGCGGCTCCTGGATGTTTCTTCTCCGCTCTCTTGTCCTTTAAAGATTAATGTCTGGCCTTGAGGGGCTCATCAGTGTGTATTTGCTATGTGTGTGTCATAAGTACTTGAGTCCCTGGGTGATGAAATAAAGCGGTACATTGAAATAAACGGTGCAGCATTCCAAAATGGAAACACTAACGCCAATAGCTTCCAGAAACAAAGCATAAATCTTCACATGATCATCTATTACGTGAAAACGTAGAAACCATCGTATTGCATAGACGGGGGCGCACAAATTCTTTCTGCAGAGGTCCTGACGGCAAACATCTCAGGCTTTGAGGGCCACACGGTCCCCAGAGCAAGTACAGCACAAGCATTGTGGTGGGACAACCGCCACAGGCCATCCGTGAACACACGGGCGTGGCCGTGTCCCTGTAAAACTTCGTTCACAAAATCAGCAGCAAGGGAATCTGGCCCTCAGATGGTAGTTTGCCAATCTGTAGTGACTACGTGAATTGAGATGTCCTGAGTAATCATTTTTGGAAACCAGAACATGACTCTTGCTCTCTTTTAAAATTTCGTCACTCGCAAACTCACACAACAGTGTCAAAAATCAGGCTCCGCCAGCACGTTGTTCCACAGATGAGCACGTTGCCACCGTGCGAGCCAAGTAGTCAGGGTCAAGCTGGGACAGAAGGTGCCAGAGGGCCAAGGACAGCAGGCAGCTCTGTCTGGAGAAGTCAGGGCAGAACACGACGCCTGAAAGATTTGGAGGAGAAAACGTTTCTGGTATCTTCAGGCCTACATCAACGCGACCACCCAGAAATACCTTTACGTCCTGAAAATTGGGCGGGATGTAAAATCACCGGTGTCCGACTTAGACACGCAGGGAGTGATGTGTCAAACCTCAGCGCCAGAGGAGAGAATCCGTCGGGGACCCGGTGATGCTTTTATTCTATACAAATTTCCGTTACGTACAACCCTCACCACAGTGTAGGGGCTGGGCTACAGGGCAGAGCAAACCGCACAATTTGGGAAAATGTATCCATCCAGTCTGTCTTCTGAAATACACCATAACTCCAAACCAAAAATACAGAGAACACGGAATAAAATACCGAATACAAAAGAGAATTATTTTAAATTGCCATAGATTTGACATCAGAAACTTGATGAAGGGATTAATCTCAAGAAAGACTTTAATGATGCCATAGATTATGTTTTTAAAGGGCTGTTTTATGAGTGTCTCAAACTTACCTTATTTGGGATATGAATTAGTAGTATAAATCATTTAAGTAAAATGCAGAACATTAATTGATTTTTTCCCACTGAAACGATTTGCCAGAATGCAGGTATCTTTACGGCAGCACTTTGACAATTCATAAATTATTTCAGAATAGATCAGAACAGGACACAATGTGTGGTAGAAAACTGGCAGAAACACCAGTCACAGACATGTTATAGCAGATTCACCCTAAGTAGTTAAGCAAACAGAGGTCTGCTGGTCTCACATGTCATCAGTGTTGGGCAGAAATTTGGGTAAAAAGTTGGAGGCAACCAGAGCAGGAAACAAATCCTAAGCCTAGCACACTATCTCTGTAACTCTGGAGGACGTACTTAACTCTGGGAATCTGAGCCTCCGTTTCCCCACCAGTAAAATGGGCATAATGCGTAGTTTCTTCTTAGCAGGACCATCACAAGGATTAAATGAGATATAAATCACTGCATTTCGTCCTTGAAACAGAAGGTGTTTTAGTATGTAAAGTATCTGTACTTCTTGTGAAGTGGGCAGTGGGCTGCCTTTACATTTCGGACAGATGTACCCTGATTCCCTTCCAGATTGTGACTCCCTGAGGAGCAGCACCACCAACTGGACCCCTGGTTGTGGGGCCTGGGGGTGAGCATTAGCAAGGGCTCAGCTAGACCCAGGCTCCCTGACTTCTTGGAAGGAGCTCTGGTAGAGGGAGAGCTGTTGGCAGGCAGCAAGGCCAGGAAAAATCCAGAAACGTGGCAGGGGCTTCCCTCTCCACCCTGGCGTCTTGTACCCAGAGTTCTTTGGCGTCAGCTTGTTATTCCGAGCGCGTGGGTGTCCTGACGCAGGGACGTGTCTGCATACCCCAGCTCTTCGCACACGCTGGCCGTGCATCGGGCTCCACGCTGGTCTTGTCTGTGAACGAGTGGGTTCTCGTGCTGTGTGAAGACGCGTTATTACGTGTTTGTGATACAGACGGAGCGGGTGTGGAACAGCCCCTCGTGCATGTCAGTGCGTGTGACAAGTGGGTACAGACTCTGTGTTGTGTCCCGACGTTTATGTAACAAAAGTATGAAGAGCACACACACACGTACACACGTACACACGTACACACATGTACACACACATGCACACTTTTTTTTTTTTTTTTTTGGCTGGGACACAAAGGTGGCAGGAGAGTTGACTTTTCCCCTTGAGTCATTCTTCGCGGACTTTCCAGCCATGTGCACGGAGCCCTACTCTGAAGGAAATATGGCGCGTCCTTGACCTTTCCCAGCAAACCCCCTGCTTATGTGCAGCCTCAGCCGGCGCGGGCTCCCCTTGCTTTGCCTGGCCCACACCGTCCCGCGAAGGGCCTGGTCATAAGTCCAGAGACGCTGTCCCGCTAAGCTGTGGCCCTCTGCTTTCTGAGGCTTCCAGTCCTCTGTTTGTCACAGGCACAGGTGAAGGGAGGAGAGTCGACTCACATTTCCAGGAAATAGATGCCTATTTCCTTAATAAAATGAATTGTCAAATCAATTATTATAAATATCATTCATTCCCATCCATGTGTGATTTTGCGCGTTTGTGCAACACATTTTTGAGTCAGCTACAACACGCCAGACATTACCGATGCGAAACATGGATTCTAGAACTCTGCCACCAAGTTGTTCACGTTTAACCCTTCAGTGGACAGGGGTGCACATACACCAAAAGGTAACAAAACCTAACCACACCCCGTGAAAAGGTCTGGAAGAATGGCGTGTATAAAACGGTGGCTCATAATGCAGAAAATCCAGCCCCAAAGCGGGTGACTCGAAGTGTCCTGGAGAACAGGGTCCTGGAGAATTAACGCCCGGGGCCATACTCGGAGGCTGCCGACCCACTTTTCTGGGAGACGGGGTATTTTACGCTTGGCACCAGCCTCAGACCCAGTGGTCTGGGTGAGGGAGGCGAAGGGGGAGAGGGTTTGGACTCTGTGAGTTCAGGTTACGCGCTGTGGACCGTGGGGACTGCGGGTTGAGTTTAAGGGGAGACGTGTCTGGCCTTCCCCTGACGAAGGTGCGTGAAGGGTGGGTTAGGAGTGAGGCTGGAAGGGGACCGTCGGGCGTCCGGGGTCGTCGAGGGTCTCAGCCAGGGCAGGGCTGGTTGGGACGAAGGGGCAGGTGTCTGTGAGGGCCACGGGGCGTGGGGGCAAACCAAGGAGGTGGTGACTGACCCCTGGAGGCGTGACTGCAGAG